TTTTCCTAAATGTGATCATATAATCCTCAGTTCTCTATAAATACCGAATAACCTAATTGATTGCTTTCCAAATAACTATCCCAAAATTAATTAAATATATGCCTAACATTCTAATAATGAATGCTATATCAAAATGTGTGCGATCATAAGTATACATTAAACTCCTAACTACTGAAACATAGGAAAGTTTCTATATTCCTTTTCTTTAAGTTTATTCATGGGAAATTTATTGAGACTAAACTTATATCGCTTAGTAATAGGAGTATCGCCTTATTTACAATCCTACATATCAAATCTCTTAAGAACCTTAACGATATAGCTCTTTGTGATGATCCAAAATATACTCCGAGAATGATATCGGTGTATTTGTATCCTTAATACAAAAGAGGCGTCACTAAGATCTTTCATTTCAAAATTTCATGATAGAAATTTCTTGATTTCGTGCAATAAGCCTATACCGTTGCAGGGAAATAGATTGCCATCAACACACGATACCAGGAAAATATGCTTAATCCCACCGAACTTGTGATATACACAATCATCAACTACATTCATCTCAAAACCAAACAAGATGGATATTATTTAATGAAATTTTGATACCATTAATGAGAAGCCTACTTAAGCTCATAGATGAATTTTTTTAATTTGTAAACCATCTGACCTCATTCAAAATCAAAATATGTCACAAGTGCTTTAATAGTCCTAATCTTTTGTAGAAACTAGAGATAAATCTCTTTCTTGTAAGTAAAGTCATTTACAACAAGACGAGCCTTATATCTCTCCACATCACCCTTCGAATCCTTCTTAGTTTTAAATATTCATTTACAATCAATGTACTTTACACCTTTATACAATGGTATAAGTTCTCAAACGTCATTGTCTTTCATGAACTTTATCTCTTTATTCATGGAATCAATTTATTGTTAAGAATTATTCATTTACATGACTTGATGAAAGTTGATTGATCAGATATTCTTCCATCAATTCAATGTTTTTGAAAATAGACTATAAAGTCATCAGGAATTTTCTTTCTTCTTTCTCTAGTGGATTTTCTTAATGACATTTGTTTTTGAGATTGTTGAGCTTGTTTTTCTAGAACATTCTCTTGATTGTGTATAAGGGTTTTGTAATATTATCTTAATTTGAAATTGATTCTTGAACAAAAGCTTGAGCTTGAGCAAGAATTTGTCCATGCTCCTGATCATTAACCTTAAAACTTCATCTCTCCTTGTAAACTCTATATCCTCAAAGAATTGGACATTTTCCATTTAAAAAATTGACTTGACAGTGAGATCTTCAAATTTGTAAACCCTTGATCTTGGAGAATATCCAATAAAATAATAACTAATGGTTCTGGAGTCCAGTTTCCTATTATTTGGCCTAAAAGGTCTTGCTTTTACTAGACAACTCTAAATGTGCAAGTGCTTCAAATTAGGCTTCTTGCCCATTCAAAGCTTATAAGGGATTTTAACAATTGGTTTACTTGAAATTTTGAATTTAGGCTGCAATTTTTATGGCTTCTTCCTAGAGAGATTTAGGTTTACTGTAAGATGATTCCACATTCCTCTAAGAATTTAGCAAAATGCCCTAAACATTGTTCTCCAAATTCGTCATATTTGTAATAGTATTCACCACTACAATCAGATCTCACATATTTTATTCTTTCACTGGGTTGATTTTCAACCCTAGGCTTGTAGAATGAAATATTGTAGACATAACAAGAAAAATCGTTGATGAACATAATTAAAGATTGTTAACCATTCCAAGAAGTCGAAGGAAAGGGCTTCCAAATATCCGTATGAATTAGATCTATGACGTCTGAAGTCTTATAAGCACCTAATCTCCTTATACTTGTTTGTTTTCCTCTTAATGTAATTAACACTTAAGTCTAAAATCAAAGTGATCAATAATTCCTTCTGATACGAGCTTTTCATTTCTCCTTTTGAGAGATGTGACATGACCACTTGTGCCATAACGAAATAAAATTATCATTAATTAATTTATATATAATACCATGTGAATTCATATGCAACTAGATGCAACCAAGTTAAGCAAATATAGGTTATAACAATTAGATAAAGAACTGGTACCCACAATAATTGAATTAGGAAATAGACTAAACTAAGTATTTTCAAATGAATAAGAGTAACCAATTTTGTCCAATATAGATATCGAAACCAAATCCCATCTAAAAGACGGTACCTCAAATATCTCTTTCATTTCAAATAATAATCAATCTTTAATAATAATCTAAAAGTCCTTTTATCTTCAACTTTAAATGATTCGACATCGCCTACATAAATGAATCTTTCAACATTAATCAGTTATCGGATGTTCAAGTAACCTCACATAGACATATTTATGTGAGTAGTGGCATCAAAATTTACCTACCAAGTGTATCCAGGTACTAAAACTAAATTAGCCTCAGAACAAACCAAAGTGAAAATTGTACTTTTTTTCACACGCCAAGTATGGTATTTTGTACAATCCATCTTCATGTGTTCCAAATTTTTAAAAAGTAATAGTCAAATAATTTATCTTTTTCAGGCTTTTGCTATTTCTTTTTAACTAAATCGGATGTAGCTTCCTTAATATTTAACCAGTCCTTTCAGATACTTGTCAACTGAGTACTTTCAATTCTATCTTGCTTTAACATTTCTCCTTCTCGCACACAATATGAAATGAACTCATTAAAAGTTCAATTCCCCTTATTCATAGTTGTAACTGACCTTAAATTATCTAAATTGTGCTAAAAGAGAAATCAAAACTAAATGCACGAACAAATCATCAAACAGCTCAAGCTTTAATGTCTTTAGTTTTGGAGCAAGATGAGGCATCTTAAGTATAATAAGTTTGCTAAAAGCATACTCGTTTCGGCCTTACTGTGTTTTATAAAGCAACTTTTTTTTTTTCCTTAAAGAAACTCTTTGGAAGTAGTTAACTTAACGCCCCTCAATGTTACTGTAATTTTTTGCTTCATGATCATTAGACTAATGCGATTTAAACGATCCAACTTATCTGAATCACATTTCTCGACAGCAAAACTGTTATCCATAAGAATAGTGAATTGTTCAATCCTTAATGCAAAATTTAGACCCATGTAGTGAAGAATTATATAAACATTCTCTTTTTAGTCCTTAACATTTGGTTCCCCAAGTGTAGTTTTTTAATTGATTAGTTGGCAGATATTGTAGAAATAGATGGATTAATCGAATGGAGCCCCTGTTTGGCCCCCATTTTGTAGAGTTGAAAATGGGTGAAATAATATTTTTTTGAAAAATGAGTAATTGAAAAAGAAAAAAAAGTTTTAGATTTACGTGTAATATTATTTTATGAAAGATTGTATGGTTAAAAATAGGAGAGAGAAAAATATAATGTAATAGAAATTAATGAGGGCCAAATGGAATCTAACCTAAATGACATGTTTACATAGAAATTTGTATTGGACAATCTGTAATCAAATATTAACAATAAATTCGATCAAACATTAAGTCTATTTTTTAAACCGACTCAATGTTCACAAAATGAAAAACTTTACAACCCTAACGAATCCAATCTCTATACATATAATCCAATCCAAACTATTATTTAAACATAAACCCAATAATTGAATTATTTATTAGATCACTTTAATTTTGGGCTTACAGGTGACAAATTAGTAATCACAAATGACTCATTAATAGCATGAAAATACAATTAAAAAAAATCCCATTAATTTGAATAAATTCTCCTTAGATCTATAGTTTAGAGCCGATCAAAAGTCCCGAATCTTCAAATACTTGATTTTATTTGAATTCAAACCAGAAATTCGGACTTTCGATGATGTCAACGGCTACATAGGACGTGCATCTTTTAATTTGGATTTTGGGCTTAGGGTTGGGAATGAGGAATAAGAACGTAGTTTACGAGGCAGGTGAGAGGTGGAAGGAGTATGCGCGCAACAGTTTGCAGTGTTACTTTGGTTTGGGTGGAGTGAGGGAGGGGAAGATAATCATTTTTATTTTCTTTTGTTTCTTTTTCTTAATTTATTTACTTTAATTGTTTAACGTTGTAAATAGAAAATTATTATTTTACCCTTTCTAAAATTATTTAAAAAATGGTCAAAATCAATTTCTTGATCGTACTAACAAAAATATTGATAGAAACCATCCTCTGAGCCTAAACTGCTGCAATTGGAAAGGTTTAAAGTGACAATTACAACAATTGAAAAACTAAGAAAATCTACAAGTATTTGAAGGATTTAAGGCCTCAACTGCAGCTATCCTTTTTTTCTTTAAAAAATACAACTTAAAATTGAAATGAGTTTATATAATATTAGTGTACTTTTGTCAGTTATGATTACATAACTAACAAGTGTTTGTTTGAAAATTCTCTTAAAAATGAGCTTTTTTTTAAATAAAAAATAAATAAATAAAAATGTAAAAAATAAAAAATACCTTTTGGCCTCAATCACTTTCAAATTTCAGTACGTTAAGATGCACAAGACAATAAAATAATATTGTCCATGACCAACAGTCATAAATCACATCAATTTAGCCCCTGTTTGATTCCCATTACTTGAAAATGAAAATGAGGGGAATAGAATTTTTTAGAAAAATGAGTGGTTGAAAAAGAAAGAAAAGTTTTCAATTTACGTATAATATTATTTTATGGAAGATTGTGTGGTTGAAAATAAGAGAGAGAAAAATAGAATGTAATTTAATTTAATTTAATTTAATGGGAATCAAACAGGGGCTTAATTGTTACATTAAGAGTTTCGCATCAGTCTAGATGACACAGAAAAATGCTATAACACCAATGGTGCTACACACCATTACTCCTATTAAAACGATGGATTCCTATTTCTCAATAATATTCCACAATTAAGGCAATGAGCTAATCATGTGAAGCCATTTCATAAAAGTTCCAAAACATGTTTGCTATACAAAAGGAATTCAAGTACAAATTGCAGGACGTATTGCCAGGAAAAGAAATTGCACGTGTCAATCAACCAAAGTTATTTTTACAAAATTAAAATATAAATATAAATCCAGGAAATTTATCCATAATAATTGAGCATGATCCCAATACTCAATAATTTGATTATTTTCTGTCATGCATTTAGAAAAGATTTAGACAACAGCATCAACCGTGCAAGTTTGATTCAGTCAAAAAAAGAAAAGGGCAAAAACACAAGGCATGGCTACAGCTTAAAAAATTCGAAACATTCACACAATCAGAATGAACATCCTGGTGATTATTGATATAAAAGGAAAGAAAGAACAAGAAAAGATTTGCCCCCGCATGAAAGAATTCTTCATTCACCAAGAATATTAGACGTCGTGGTTATTCATCTGCAAAAGTAAAGCAATCTTGAAAACAGAATCGTATTCATCTAAACACATGCAACAAGCCTCAACTGAAGTTGTTAAATAAAACAATAATAACCAGATTTCAATTTTTTGTCATAAAAGGAAACAAAACCAGCAGCAGTAATTTTTTTCACAATTGATTTTCGACCTATGTTTGGCCTCCATATTTTGAAATTTTCATTTTCAACCACACACTCCCATAAAATAATTTTATACGCAAATCTAAAACTTATCCTTATTTTTAAATCACTCATTCTCCAACAAAATACCATTCCAAAATGCATTTTGACTTGAAAATGGGGGCTCAAACAGGCACTCAATAGTATTATTGCTCACTCTTCTTATTTTCTCTCAACGACCCGATACCCATACACATACTTATGGCTCACATCTTCCATTTATCCAACAAAAAACAACAAATGAAATATAGAGTAGATGGATCTACCAAAAACCAGGCACAATCGAATCAATAAATAAAGACATTTCACTATATTGTTTCTGGGGTTTGCAGCAGATTACAAGTTACCTCCCATTCCTCTGCACTAATGGAGAATTACAACTATCTCACATTATCAAGAGGTTTGACAGCAAACAAGTTACTAAACAAACAAGCACATCATCAAACAGGAAAAAGCAACTAATAATGACGAAACAGCTGAATCTACCAAATACCAACACTAGCAATTCAATCTCACACCAAACTCAAGCACAACCAAAACCAAAAAATTGCAGAATATTACAACTTAATTCCCATGCCTCTTGACTAAGGGAGAATTACTATGAACTCACATTGTAAAACAGGTTTTATGGCAATTGGTTCATAATTAACCAGTGTGTAATTGAATTGAAAAAAGACAAAACCACCTAATTGGATCCATCCAACACCGACACAATCAATGTACAATATCACACCAAACCTTAAGCACGATCAAATTTAATCGATAAACACAAATTGCTATACTATTTATAGGGTTTGTAGAACTTACTTCCCATGCCTCTGCACGAAGGGAGAATTTTTCGCGTCCTCCTCTACCAACAACAACAATCATCAAAAAATAAACAATCAGAAAAGAGAAGAAGTTTTTTTTTTTTTTTTAATTTACAAAAAATGAGATATTAGGGTCAACTTTTTAAAAATGGATGACAACGAGTTTTGAATCCAAATAAGTACTTTAATATCATAAAAAAAGTATTGTTTATAATAGTTTTTGCTTAATTCAATAATATCGATGTAGAAAAATATTTCTAATAAATTCTAATAAATGTTACTTTCAAAAAATTCTAGTTCAGTTTTTTCTTTTGTCGTATAATTGACATTTACCACAAGTTTCACTAAACATAAAATTAATTTAAATGTACTTTAACGTAAACTTTTATTTTCAAATATATTTAGATATACTACTGTTTTCTTAATTATAAGTAAATAAAGTTATTTATTGACAATAAAGTTGAGGTTATTTTTAGACTACTTATTTCCGTTATAGCAAAGAAACATAATTACATAAAAATTTACTTGTTTACTTATAATTTATCTTACACGATAAGTATATATTTTAAGCTTAAGAAACATGCACTTAGCTTATATTATTATTATTATTATTATTATTATTATTATTATTATTATTATTATTATTATTATTATTATTATTATTATTATTATTATTATTA